GCTCTTACTGATAACCCTGCCTGGTAAGGAGAGAATACTGTGGCTTTTCCTGAATGCTACAGAGCAGCAATTGCCACAGTTGGGGCAGCGGCCCATCCACCTGCCTACCTTTCACATGAAGAGGATGCTGATGGAGGTGAATATCAAAGGTGCAGCATTAGCAGCTCCGGGATGACAGCCATTGAAATGCTGCCTGGCTTGTTTGGGTGGAGAATGGGAAATTAGTGACAAGTTGCTATACTTTGTCAGTTTTAATTGAAAAACTCTATACCTCTGCAGTCAAAAGTGTAGAAAACAGTTCTAGAGGGATCTAGTTCCTGCCATTTGAGGAGAACATTTTGTCATCATGTAGAAGGTATTAAAATAATCAGACAAGAGCTGTTTACCTCCTAGTTATGTTGCAGTAAGCAGTATATATTGCAATTCTAAATTTTAAGGCACAGCAACCAAAACATTGGTATAAATTTCACATAAATATAACACAACTGGGTCCAGAAGTGTTGGAGCTATACATTAACACTGCAAGCTCAAATCTTAAGATAAGAGAGCATTTTGTGGGACACGTGCTTGCTTAAGGCTCTGCTCAGATGCTTCATTTCTGACATAAAAGACCCTGTAGGTGAATTTGCAAGCTGTGCCCCTGTGTGCAAAGGAAGAACAGTAACCAGAAATCAGGAAATCAAAGAAAGGAGAGGTAGGTGCTGAGAGGCAGCATGGAAAAGCCTCCCAAGAATAAGTAAGGCTTGTAGACTAGTAGTCTTATGAATCCACAAGAACAGATAAATTCAGAATATTTGGAGATCAGTCGAGACCACTCAGTACATAATTGTCTCGCCTGGGAGTTTTACATCCTTGGCCACATCCTAGGGTGCCATGGAAAAATAGGTCCTCAAGGGTATTTCTGAGCATCAATTAGAAGCCTCCGAAAAATAGCTCTCTCTTTCTAGGATAAGCTCCCTGCATCTTAGTCTAAACAGGGAAATATTAATGAGTGTCTGTGTGAGAGGCAATAATTGAATATACCATGTGAATAGTTATCTGCTATTATAACAACAACTTGATTTAATGAATAATAGTTCAACTAGTAAAATATGATCTTACAGGCATTCATTACAATATGTTTCACTTCTGGCTCAAGCCAGTATCAGGAAAAAATGTAGTTCTACCAATGAAACCATCCTCTTCTTTCTTGACTCTTCAGAGTTGACACAAATTTAGCAGTAGCTCTCTATCTGAATCCCATCTGTATCTTGCTTTACTAGTAAATATTCTACAAACACTTTACATTCTCCCTTCACTGTCAAGTATGGCATGAAAATGCTACACAGTTTTTATAGGGAAAGTTATTTTTTTCTCTTTACAGAGAGATGCTCCTGCTCATGTTAAATTCTGCTATATGTTGATTTTTTTTCCTTATTTTTTTGCAAACTGGAGAACAGTGAGCTCTGCCCATTCCTTAAATTTTGCTCCTCCCAGTAAAGAGAACTGAATCAGCACCAGATTTTCAGGTTGGGTAACCAAGAAGTAATCCTTAACCAGAAAGTATCCCTAGAGCTGCCAATGGGAGCCCTTAAAGGAAAGAATGGCATTCATTCCTGTTTTTATTCTTACACGTGTCATGATCATGATAATAGCAGAGCTATTATTTCTGAACTGGCTCAACTCAGCTCTATCTGGATTAATTTCCTCCAGAGTTTGCTTTCCTCAAAACGAGATAAGTTATCTGATTGTGCCAATAAGAAAACAACAAGAAGTCCCATTAAGTGATCTGTTCACGTCTGGTTATTTGCTTTACCATGTGTTTACAGTGAAGGTGCATACCTGGCCACAGAAACTCAGATTATGAGTGTATGAGTGTTGATGATAAATGTTCCTGGTGTGTAACTTGGCAGATGGGATTCAGTATAGAACAATAGTTACAGAGTTAACCTGGCTTCAAGCATGCTGAGGAAGACACATAATGAACTAGCAGCTTTATTTGTCATTGAACTACATCACAGCCAAGAGTGCTGCTCAAGGAGCAGTATATCTTGAAGCATCCTCCTTGGCAGTGTGATGCTTTAACATCAATGGATAGCTAAGCAGAGCTACTGCCTCACTCCCCTTTCTCAAGGAAACAGATGATAAATTTCTCAGAACTGCCTCCTTTCCAAGATGATGGTGTTCCTCAATTTCTTGTTTTATCAATAGGGTCTTCAGAATGTCTCCAGTTGTTAGGATGCCAACAGCAACCCACAAAGATGTCTCTGGTTCCCAGGCCAAAATCCTAGCTCCTATGCCTGGTTTCCAGGGTAGCAGTCAGTTTTTCCTGTAAGTACTTAGCAGCCATTTTATGTCAATATTTTTTCAGTACAGTCAAGCTAGTCCTGTAGTAACTCCCATCAATTATATAGAAATATGAAAATACTATATAGAGAGAAATATGCTATATCCAGATCAAGTGAGAATACATCCTCAAAGTTCTTTGTAAAACATTACTAGGCATTTGTAGTGGAAATGCTAACTCACAGCTTGAAACAATTATCAAGTACCTTGTAGGAAGAAAGAGGAGCTCAGGTGCATGTAATGCATCTGAGTAACTGGAAGGAGTGGAGAGCCAGGATCCAGGGGCGGCAAGATAAGGGTTGGCAGTGAAGAGAAGGGTATCTTGATAGAGACTCCCTGTATACCTGAAGCTTTCTGAAGGTAAGTAGCTTTTTCCCTTTTTCCCTTCTTTTTTCTTCCTTATTTCTTCGCATATGGCTGTTGCTTTTGAGGGGACCCTCACTTACTGCAGCCTGGGATCTTGCTGCTCTGCTGTCATCAATACACTTTCAACTGTGTTACACTTGGTGAATCAGGCAGGCATGATAGCAGCATATGAATTTAGGACTTTTTTTTTTTTTTTTTTCTTAAAAGGAGAGTGTGTTGGCTGGTTGTTGGGACCCCGTAATGCCCCACAGGAGGAACTTCCCAGGTGAAACCCTGAATTCCCTGGATTTCCAATAGCTGAATTCTGTATGGATTATTATTATTATGCTGCATGGTCTCATAATCAAATCCCCTTTCAAGCTGGCAGGTGGCAGAATTTTTGAATAAATTTGAACAAATATTCTTAAGAACTGAGGAAAGAGGTGTGGTGACATCCTCTATAGCATGTCTGCTACTGCTAGCAATTAATGTATATCATTCCTTTGAGGAAGGATTGAAAGATGAAAATGAGCTTTTAAAAGCCCATATCAGGCAGCTGAAAAATGAAGCTGCACTTCCGAGGTGGTAAACCACCTCACCTTTGAAGCACTGGAATAGGCTGCCCAATGAGGCTGTGGATGCCCTATCCTTGGAGGTATTCAAGGCCAGGCTGGATGTGACTCTGGACAGCATGGTCTAGAGGTCGGTGACCCTGCACGTAGCAGGGGGGTTGAAAGTAGATGATCGTTATGGTCCTTTTCAACACAGGCCATTCCATGATCTTCAAATGGCATTTCTCCTCTAAAATGAAGAACTGTACCATTAGAAAGAGAGAAGGACTTAAATCAACAGGATCCTTTGGTCATAGTTGAATCTAAAATAAAAGGAAAATGAAGATGACTGAAGTCCAACGAGAGGATCCAGGAACCTCAAATCCTCTAGAAATAAGACCAGTAATAAATCAAAAAACAAAGGAAGTCCAAGACAGACCAGCACGATTGCCACCTCAGGATTAGCTCCCTGCCCCCTCTGCATTACATGTGACATGCACCCATACAAGGCCACCGAACTCATGGATGTATTACAATGATTTAAAGAGAGATCCCTAGAGAGCATGCCAGCTTAGTTCTTGAGGTTATGGGACTTTGAGGCCAAAAGTGTGGTTATTAATGGACCAAAGATTTCTAAACTTGTATCTATCACCATACATCTGGCTCTCAGACAAAGACTGTATGTTATTGTAATGCATAATGATGAAAATAATTCTTTAATTTAATGGATAATGGCTGCATGTAGGATTGTGTGGCCAGATAAAAGCGATATTCCAATAAATACTGTTCTACGGACTTTGACAGAGGGATTTCAAAGTTATATCAGAGAACCAGGAATGAAGGAAGTGATTTAAGATGACAAGTCTGAGAGTCCAGATCTGGTGGAAATTCTCCTCAGTGATGAGGGATCTCATTCTAGAACAAGTGCCTCCCTACCAGAGGCTCACTAATGTCCATAATAAACCCTTTGGTAGCCTCAGAAGCTGTTGTTCAACAAGCTACCCAATTGGTGGCAGATCTAGGAGAAACACAGTGCCTTTGGACCAGGCACAATATCCAGATGTTGGGAGGAGCTGAGCAGTCTCGGATATAGAGCTAAAGGATATGATACAGACAGCTGCGACATGCCCCAGTGCAGAGAAGACAGGAAGTCCTGTAAGTTGTATCCTAAGGAAGATGGTCTTTCAAAAGCTTCTGCCCATACTATCCTCAGGTTTTAACCAAATAAGGAAACCTTGAACAATCCTCACCATAAAGATAGAGTGTCATTTGTTATTCACAGTGCTACCACCAGCAGTAAGACCCTCTTGTTTGGATTTTATAATGAGAGCACAGTTGTTCCCAAGGAGATTGATAAATTGCAAATGTAAGAATTCTCTTTCCCTTTTTCATTCCAAAGTGAGACCAATGTTCTGCACTTCCATATTGCTTTATCAGTTGAGAAATAACCATTTTACACATTATTCTTCTTGTACCACAGGTTGATGCCAATAGTGAAATGACGATCTCGATGGTGACATTAGAAACGCAGACATTCCGCATATATGGTCACAGGTACAACTTTCAAATTTTATTGGAGGTTTTGGTTCTTTCAGATTTGAGATTATCTGCTGATAATGTCTAAAAAGGTGAACAATATTTCTATTGGTTCCTTCATATAGCTCATGCTAGGATGTGAACCTATATATTTCCTCCTTCATAGTTATTTCTGACACAGAGAGACACGCATGCAGAGAGTTTGGTCTATATAGTGCCTAACAAAGAGTTTTTATCCAGCCACGGTAAGGATGGCAATGAAAGGATGTCTTTCAGCTTTAGTGTTGTGGCTCCTTCTCCTCACCATTCAGGTTTCCCTAGGTAAGTACATTAATTTGCATAAGGTACTTGGCTAAGGAAGAGAATGTGAATTCAGTATAAATTGGTTGTTATTCCATTAGTCTGTAAGGCAAAATGTCAAGAAAGTGTTTAATACATTTGTACTTAATTCAAACTCCTTGGTGATCCTGGCAGAAAAAAATAAGCCATTTGTAAGAGTTCTATATTTTACTGACATATTAGCTATCTGACATTTTTACAGAGTTCAAGTCCAAGTTCAGTGAACAGTTGAGCTGTAATGGAAGCCTATTGGGTATTTTTTATTACTGTCTTGTATCCCCCATTGAGCTTTGTGTAGATGGAGTCAATAACTCTAGGTCTTTATTTAAACCCAGTTAAAATGCTGCTGTGTGCAGTGGCGTTTGACTGGGTAGTATCTTCCCTTCCATTATTCCTGTATGTTTGAATTTTAACACTAGTTATCTCCATGCTGTTGTAGGGCTACGTGTACATATTTGAAATGATCTATAAGAACCAGATTTTGGAGTTCATATTTTTGTCTCTATACACATGGAGTTAGTAACATAGCACTATGCCTGACGGTTGCACCCTTGTATGATGAAAATAAGATTTCATGGTTGATACTTTCCTTAATGTAGCAGAGACCTAGTTTTAGAGGCTCCCACCAGTTGTGTGGATGCAAATGGATGGGAAGAAGTGGCATGGGACTTTCTGTGTAAAGGAGTGTGAACAGCAATATTACAGACTTGTATTTAGACATCTCTGTAGCAGAACTGTACTAAAGAGTAAGTTATCTGCCAACTTTATAATAAGAGGAAGCAGTAAAAGAGTGCCTTACAATGTAGATGGGAGTAGTTTTACATTGACACCCCATTATCAGCACTGACAACCCACGCATCTGCTCTGGCTCTGACCATACTTGCGTATTCCACGCTACCACAGCCCCCTGTTTGTCCACAGGGACTTTGGAGAGTGCAGGCAACATCAGAAGCACATCAGAAGTGAGCTGAAATCTTGATAGGCATGCACGCACCCTGGGAAAAGGACTGCATGCCTCATTCTTATTCTTGGTCTGCGAGGGGAACCAGGTCTTTAGTGGGAACAAGCCCAAATTTTACACCCTTTTACCCAAGCAGAACCTCATCCTGTAACTAGTACCACTGAATTTAAATTTGGTGCTTCTTAGGATATGCTGTGGAGTGTGAGTGGAGGCAATATGTCTATAGGTAACATAAAAAACATCACAATAGATTGATTTCAACCGACGACAGTTTCAATTAGAGTATATTAAAAATTGCTGGGTATGTTTTGTCTAGCTTTGCCTCTGCATTCAGCCCTGCATTCTGTCATGTGCTGAAAATATATGTCAGATTCCGCACTTAAATATTCAAGTGCAGAGAAACAGATTAATCAATTGAGGATCTGTTTGTTTTAGTCCTGAATGTGGCTAATAGAAATAGGTTATCTGGTTCCTTTAATAATGAATGATGACTTTAATTTATAAATGTTTTCTTTATTAAATGTTTGTTTTTAAATGCGTCTCAAGTACAAAGGCTTTTGGTAGCTCTTTGTGCTAAGTATTTGAGAGAATTTTACTCAGGAAATTTGAGAAAAAAAGACAGTTTGTACAAAAATATCTTCAGATGTTGCTACTTGTCATCCACTTGAATAATCTCTTCATGTTTCTGAATCTAAATGACAGACAGGAAATTGTGGGGAAGTGCAGCAGTGTTAGCACAGAAGTAAAACCTTTGCCTGCGTACAAGAGCAATTCTGTGTCAGTGCCATATTATCTGCCTCTGAACCAGGAGACAATCAGACTACATGCGGATGGAGACAGCTGCATTTTAGTCAACTACTGCTAGCAGTTTGCTTTGGAAAGAGATTATGGTTAGTTGCTGAAAGAAGTAGCTTTATCAATTTCTGTGTTAGCGCTGACACGAGGAATTGAGAGGAATTAGAATTGATTTAAAATAAAAAGCAAAACGATTTATTTTTGTTTCACTGTGTCAAATGGCAGCAAGAAGTGTGATATGTAGGAACATCTCTCTCCTTTGAGGAAGAGAGAGAATGTGATGCTTCCAAATCCATATTGTTTTGAGAACTCTTCCAGGAAAACCTGAGGGTCTTAGTAAAATTTAATTGCTTTTCTGTTGCTAATCAGATACTACCATTGATTTACTCTGAGAAGTGCCTTTCTAGACTGCTTGCAACTGTTACTTCTCTAGATCTCCTACAAGTATCTTTCAAGGGTACAGCCAATGCCATCTGCTCCCATGATAACATGGCCAGCAGGACGTAGGTCTCACCAGTAAGGGCCCAGGCTCAAGTACCTATGAGAGGCAAGCAAGGCAGTAGTGAGTTTCAAGTAAGAGCCCAGATCATAAACAAGTTCATGCTGAAGGGGCACATTCAAAGTCAAATTGGAAGTTGCTATACAGATCAGGACAAGCTCCAGTGATGGCAGCAATCTGCAGGTCAGCATGCATATTATAGAGACTGTGGCCAGACACAGCTGTGTTTAAGTTGGATGCAAGCACACCTACAATGCATCTGAGGCAGTGACAAAAATTGCAGACATATTCTTAAATGGAGCCCCAGAAATATGGGCAGGATGCATGGGTGGAGACCCCAGCTGAGGCAAGTCAAGGCCAATAAGATTTGTTAGTGAACTCGGCACTGACAGTCAGATCAAATCTTATTTATAAACTTTGGATTAATTTTCCATTGTAAGCTAGGTTTTGAAACAGTTCTGGTTTGGGGTCAAAGTTGTTAGTCTTCTTATCTGACTCTTCTGTTACCCTCATTTAGATATGTGAACAACCTGAGTGGCCTTCCATGCTCCAAAAGAAGTTACTAGCATCCCTCAGAGATTTTCACGTTCCTTTATATGCTGAAACTCATATCTAATTAAGTTTTAGATGAATCTCTGGTCCTTGCATGTACTTATCTTTTACTATCTTTCACCTGGAAATATAGAGGTCCCACATATGGTAGGTTTTTTGTCATTTTAATTTTCAGCCATGTCGTCGTCTTTGGAGATGACAATTCACACAGGTTTTTTTCCTTTTAAGTTTTCTCTTTGAGAAGGGGACAGATCATATCCAACAAGTTTGTTTCAGGTGTAGTGGAGGCAATAATTCATGGCCTGAAACAATAATTGAGCACCTGGTGGGAAGGAAGGGACAACTCAGGGGAGCTGAGTGAATGGGAGGGGTGTAGCCAGGATGCACTCCTTCCCAGACCTCATTTGAGGGATGGCAGTGGAGGTGAGGGTATCTCCTGCCAGAGATCCCTGCCTACCTGAGGCCTTCCAAAGGTGAGCAATTATTTTCCTGCATCTGTGGCTGCTGCCTTTGGGCTTGTTCTCATTTGCTGTAGTCAAAGACTTTGCTACCCTACTGTTATCATCCCATTATAGTATTACACAAGGACCCAACATTGGTAACAGATGAGCACAAGTACTGAATGATTTAACTGTCACTGAGAAAACTTCAATTTAAAAAATTTGCCCCAAGACTCTCAGTTCCAGAACAAAATCACCAGAGCTCCTTTTACTATGAAATATAAAATGCCTCTTAAGTATTTCAGTATTGTGTGTAATTCAAATATGCATGTATGTCAAGCCTCTTGAGGTTAGCCTCTATCCCAAGGTCTATCCCAAGGTTTAAGGCTTGTTATCACTGCTTTAATCTCTCATTACTTGATAAAACTGTTCTTACAAATTCCTTCTTGTGAAGGCACTGATTATTTATGCTCTGAAAGTAAAGGATGTCAATGCACCTTGCTCTTTGTAGATGGGATGTTTATGGAATTCAAAATCTCTAAGTAGTTTGTTAGCATACTTAGCACTCTTCTGGATAATCCTGGAATTTTTGTTCAAGTCACAAAGCATTGTGGAATATTATTAGACTCCCCTATTTTTTCTTATTCTGCTGAACTTCTTCCGTGATTTTTATCTATCCAGTTGTACAACAAGGCAAAAGTATAGCAGCCTTAGGGCACAAACAATGTGTTGTTTCAGTTGCAAACGAAAAAATCATCAGGTTTTTGGTTTAACTATTTTGAAACCTATTCTCATTATTTTATCAAAATAGAAAGCATAGCTGCATATTTTTTTTGCTGTTTACAGGACTGTGTTTAGTCAGTGTATCAAAATCTATCACATGAGCTGGCACTGCACTGTGTGCCATGCCCTTGTTTCAGCCCAGATGGGGTTATTAGCACACTATGTTTAGTTGACACTGAGGGGCTGGACCAGGCTGCACTGCAAGATGTGCTGAGCTGCATGTGGCCTATGGTCTACAAATTAGATATGCCTGACTTAATTTACTTAATCTACTCGCTGGGTAGCCCAGCTTGATATGCATTAGCAGTCACACACTAACATGCCCTCGTTCGTTCTAGTTGCTGGTATCAAAGACATGGACTTCTGTGACCCATGGTCCAGCACCAGCTGCTGGTACATCCATATACAGGTGCACAGAATAAAGTAAAAAGAAACAGACAGCACAGGTCATAGCTGCACAAGTCAGCTGAGAAGCAGCCTATTTGTCCCTTGTGTCCATTTACCCTTCTGTTGTGCTATACTTTCTCCTTCCCAAGCAATCTTTGGGTGCTTTTCTTTTGTATCTCATACAGTGTCCCATATCCTGGGATAGTCCCAGGAAGTGCCACAGCAGGAGCCTTTTTCTCTGATTGGATTACTAAGGTTTCCCCACCTGCCTTTGTTTCTCTGTGCTCCTTTGCATGGGAAGATGAACTTTCTAACACAAAACCTAATGATCTGAATGTCATCTTTATTGTTTCAATACAACAGTAATTGTTCTTAATGGAATCTGCAGGAGGTATCTTTATTTTTTGTTTCATTGTTTGTTTTCAGTGCCTTTTTTATTTTTTTATTTTTTTTATTTTTTTATTTTTTTTATTACTGTCTGCTAGGATTCAGAATACTAACTCAGTGTTTTTGCCTTTTAGTCAAGCAAATAAATTCTTCCTGCAAGCAAAGAATTTTTTTTTAAGGAGAAGCTGCTCCAAAACTCTTACCTTAAAACCTTTGACTTTTTGAGGGGAAAAAACAAAAACAAAAAAACAATTCCTGAACAGTTTTTTCTTCTCATGTAATTACATACTAGACTATCTACCTTTGTTTTCCTGATGTCTTTGTAAAATACAACTCAAATCTATTATCCTGTTTTCTGAGCTCAAGCAGGTTATGGTGTAGCTTCATTTTCTATGAATTGCTTCTATGTCTCATAATCATTCCTGCATTTGAATGTAATAAAATTCTTCTTGTGTTTTCTTGCTGTTAGGTCCTTTTTCTAGACTTCTGTATAGTAGCTGAAGCTTTTATAGTAGTAGTCCAACATAATAAAGCAAGAAAACCTCATGTGAGCCTTCCCTCTTCTGTCAGACTGTCATCTGCTCTGTACAGACTGTAATATTGTGTGGAACAATTTGTAGAAGAATTGAAATATTAGTGGAATTTTGATATTAGTGGAGAGAAATAGGCCTGGAAACAGAGGATCACAGAGCAGCGGGCACTGGAAGCAGAGAAGAAGAGGATTCTTTGAGGATAATTTTTACATCACGAGGGGGTGGGGCATGAGGAACAAGATGAATACCCACCTACCTGCCCATCTTCTGCTTATCCTGCTGCATCTCCCAGAACAGGTTACCAGCCCGTGACGATATCTGCATGAGACGTCTCTCCTTGGCATGTACCCCTGACCAGGAGGACTGTATCCATGGCAGGGTATTTAAAAAAAAAAAAAAAAAAAAAAGAGAGAGAGAGAGACTTTGGGGGGCACTTAGTTGCAAATAATAGTTTGTCTGAGAGGAAGAAATTGAGGAAGAACAATAAAAAGAAAGGAGAAACTTCGACTGAAGCCCTTCTGAGGCACAGGCTATGGGCATTTCTTGGCATTTTCCATCTCTGATAGGTCAGGAGCAGAGACAGCTTGCGTGTAATTAGAAATAACTTACATTTTAGCAGTTCAGTTTTCTCAAACTTGTAAATACACACATAACACCCTGAAAGCAAAACAAACGAGAACTTTATATGGGACTATTTAGAAAGTGATTCTTAAAAATAAGGTTTAGGAGTAATAAGAATCTGATTAATCATCTGCAAAAGATTGTAATGATTAGACTGTCATATTCATAACCCTCTTCTGTCTCTGTTTATGAAGGGGATGATGAATTGAAGCTGATAAATGGAACTAGCCCCTGCTCTGGGAGAGTGGAAGTAAAACATGAGGATCGGTGGGGAACTGTGTGTGATGGTGACTGGAATACAGAAGATGCCGAGGTTGTTTGCCAGCAAGTAGGATGTGGGTCTGCTGTTCAGGCCCTTAACCGAGCTCCTTTTGGAGAAGGATCTGGACCTACATGGTTGTATCGAGTAGAGTGCCGTGGTAATGAATCTGCTCTCTGGAACTGCCCTCATGCAGGCTGGGGTGGCTTTACCTGCCCTCATTATTTTGACGTTGGAGTGATCTGCTCAGGTAAGAAGTTATATAACCTTTAATAATAGAGCAATTCCCACAATACAAAGGAACTGAGATCAATCTTTGTCCTAAATGGATAAAGTCTAGTAATGTGGTCAGCACAGAGGTAACACTTCCTCCATGGCCTCTGAACCCAAATAAGTATAGCCCAAATAACCATTAAAACTTCTGCTGACCACAAATGTGTGTCTGCTTTGCCTTTGCACAGCAATGATATAGAACAGAAATAGACATAGTAAATTACACAGAACAGAAATAGAAACACCATTTCTTTCTACCATGCCTCTCAACATGAGAGCAGTAATCAACTTGCTTTTGGCCAGGAAAGGAAGCTAAAGAGAGAGTGTAGATGGGGAAGCAAGAACATTCTGTATTATGCTATCCAAGCATCCTCCTCCTTTAGATCTTCCTGTAAGCTAAGATAGGGATTTCTGGAATGGCAAAGAAATCCAGTGTATGCTCAGTGTTTTTGCTTGCAATATGTGCTTGGTTTTGCTCCCTGAAGCACTGCAAGAGGTTCTTTCCTCTCTTCAAGACTTCACGTTCATTCTTTTTGACTTTCATAAGGTTTCCTGTCAACTTATTACTTCCTTCTGTGTTCACCAGAATGGCAGCTCTGCCCTTGAGGTTATCTCAGCTCAGTAAAAGTGTACTCCATCAAGCTCTCCAGGATGCTGATGAAGATACAGAACAGATCTCAGGGAAGACAACAGTGGTAATCCATTGTTGCCAGCCTCCAGGTTGAGTGCAATTCACTAAGAACTACAATCTGAGCCTGACTGATGAGCTTTTTGCCCATCTAGTAATTCACTCATTGAGACTGTTGCAAGACACAAAAATTGTGCAAGACAGTTTCAAAGACCTTGTTAAATTTGAGGTGAATGGTATGTACTGCTCTTAACCCATCATTCACAAATCAATCCTTTTTTCAGAGAAAGCAATCAGGTCACATAGGCATGGTTTACTCTTGGAAAATCCATGCTGACTCTCCTTGTTCACCTGCTCACCTCTCACTTCACCTGCTTAGAAATATGCTCCTGGAATACTCACCCCATGATTTTCTCTAACCAGCCTGTAGTTTAGTTCTCCAGGTCGTCTTTTCATCCTTTTCTGAAGATGAGTGCAACATCTGCCTTTTTCCTATTGCTAGGGATATAATCTCAATAACCTTTTGAAAATGGTCTCTTTTTAGAGAGAGCAGACTAGAAAGAAAATTGGTCAGTTTAGATAAACCACATTGCATCCCATGGTTTATTTAGGTCAAATTCTTTCTCCTGAACTCTGTTTGCTTTGCACTTTTTCTTCTTTCTCACCCCATTTAATATTTGGAAATCCACTTTTTCAGGGTGACTAAAGGCTACCAAAGATTTTTGTAACCCCAACCAAGCAAGTTCCTCTTTGCTACCAAATAGATGTCATCTCTGTGTTTCTTAAATATATGCAAGGATGAGGACTCCACCATTTCCCTGGGCAGCCCATTCCAACTCCACACTCTCTGTGAAGAAATTCTTCCTAATTTTCAGCCTAAACTTCCCCTGCCACAACTTTCGTTCATTCCTTTGTGTCATATCACTAGTCATATGATAAAAGAGACAACTTGTAGTTGTAGAGGTCTCCCCTCGTCCTTTTTTTCTCCAGACTAAACAATCCTAGTTCCCTTAATCGCTCCTCATGAATCTTCCATTCCCTTCACCAACTTCATTGCTCTTCCTTGCACATGCTTGTGAAAACCAATATCCTTGAAGTGAGGGACTGAAAACTAAACGCATTATGTGCTCAGTAGTTTTGCCAGTGACAGCATAAAGATGTGTGATTTGGAGATTTTCTTTTTTTGTTTGTAGAAGATTTCACCCAATTCCTCACCTTAATGGGTGGTTTGTAACAAACTCCCACCACAAGATCAGCCTTACTAGCCTCTCCTTTGATTCAAAGCCACAAACTCTCCCATGCTCTGTGGAGTCACTCTTGATAAACTTGAGATTTCCCTTGACTGCACCGTTGGTGCTCCTGTGAACAACATTTTCCATGCACCTGCATGGCTATAAATTCATTGTGGTGATTGTTTGTACTGCATAAAAACAAATCCATTACTACTTCCATATTACATCCGCAGAGAAGAAAAGCATATAAAATAAATATCTCACCCATGAACAGTGGTGGAACTGTTATGAAATGAAGTACTTCACTGCTAATAGAGCTGTGGAGCTGAATAAAATGCAAACACCAAAGAAAAAAACAGTGTTTTACTTATAGAACTTCAAAAATGTTATTGAGTGGAGTTAAAAACAAGCAAACAAACAAAAAAACAAACACCAGGTGAGACATAGACACTGAGCTTGGCTACATGTAGCCCCATCTGAGTGGAAGCAAGTCTACTACTACAATGTGCAATGCCACAGAAGAAAAGCAGTGCAATGCTGTTTTCAGGACAGGTCGTTTCTCGCACAAGCTGCTGTGCCTCAGCTGCCACATTCGATCAAAACTGAGATGGGCTTCACTCAGGGTCTGCACAGCTAACTCTCATGTAGTATGCCTTGCCTGAACAAGATCTCCAGAAATATGAAGCTCATGAAGTGATGTGCAAAGGTGTTCAACAAAGCCTATGGGGATCAGCAGTGCTGAACTTGAACTAATAAACCTGTAGACTTCCAGTTCACACTATAGAGGCGCTTCATAGTTGACTCTGCTCTATATTCTTCTGGAAATCCCTTGATATTTGTATAATACAGGTTTTCTTCTTTTTGAGGCACTTCAGTCTTCTATTCCTTTGAATAGTGAAGACTTGAGGACACACACTTGTAAATGCTTATGTGTTTATTTATTTATTTGTGGATTACTGTTGTTCAAACAAGTTGCAAATGTTCAAAATTTCCCTTGTTCTAGGGCTTTCTGAGCACTTGTTCAAGATTTTGTATTTTCATGTACTAAAAACACAAACATTCCCATAAGCTGTTTTTTTCCTCTCATTTTTCTCTTGCCAGCAGCATACAGATATTGCCACAACAGCTATTTAGAAGTTACTGGTCCTCAGAGATGTGCATTCCATGTGTCTTGCCCATGAATGCATGAGAGAAATTAAATTAGACCAACATAATCAACATTCAATACTGATTTTCTTGTTTTCTCCTTCTTCTCTCCTTCTCCCCACCACACAGGTTTCTCAGGGCTGCATCTGTCTGGTGGGGACACTGCCTGCTCAGGACATCTGAAAATAAAGCAAGAAGAAACTTGGACTACGGTCTGTTATTCATACATTGATTTCAATGCTGCCTCTGTTATATGCAGTGAGCTAAGTTGTGGCCAGGCTGTGGATGTCTTGAGAGGAGCTCACTTTAGAGACAGACATGAATTGATCTGGCAAGAAAAGTTCCACTGTGTGGGGAATGAGACTCACCTTGCACACTGTCCCAGGACGTTGCAGCATAGTAAGGCATGCTCTCATGATGCTTATGTTCTATGTTCAGGTGAGACTTTGGACTGATGGATGTAGTTTATATGTATCCCAAGTTTTCTTCCTGGCAGCCCACCACTCTGAGCCTCTGCATATTTCTATGGTTCTAGGCTTCTTCCCTTATTATGCCTGAGAGATTCAAGGAAGGGCCAGGAGTAAAAGAGTAAAAGAGAGCAGCCTCACAATCTCCTTCATTCAACTGAGAGTCTGCGTTTAATGCATCCTTTGTGACAATTTCACTCTGTCATCATGGATGGAGGTCTCAAAAGATCTGTAATTTCTCTTATGTTATTAGAGGTATGAGCTCCGTAGTGTTTGGAATTCCTTCCTTGTCTTTCTCATATGCATAAAAGGAGAGGTGACCAGAGCAGATAATCAGGAACACGGCAAAATGCATTTTCTTCTGTGCTATTGTGTGTGTTAAACTCTGGTACTTCAGTTAATTATAAAACTGGGAGAGGTACAACTACAGACTTATGCAAAATCATAGAGGCATAAGTTACAAATATTTAATGGAAAGAAGTTCATTTCATGCATTTCCCAGCCACAGAATCGTAAAATAGGATCAAAGAACTGTCAAGGTTGGAAAAGATCACTAAGCTCATCTATTTCAACCATCAACCCATCACCACCATGACCACTATATCATGCCACTCAGTGCCACATCTTCCTTTTTCTTGAACAACCAGGGCAGCCAGTTCCAGTACTTCACCACTCTTCCTGAAATGAAATTTTCTTGATGTCCGATCTGAATTTCCCCTGGCACAGCTCAAGGCCATTACCTCCTGTGCTATCACTAGTTACCTAGGAGAAGCAGCCAACCCCCACCTGATTACAACCACCTTTGAGGCATTTGTAAAGGGTGATATGGTCTCCCTTGAGACTTTTCCAGTCAAAGGGCTGCAGTCAGTTTCAAACCTGCCTTGGAAATGTCATGCTGGCTATTGTGCTCTGCAGCCCTCTGAGGAGCCAGACAGCCTAGTTAAGATGCCTATGACTGAGAGGTCTTGGCTCCTGTTCCTGTCCTGCAAGATTCATAGCTCAGAGGTTTCGTTAGAAGGAATATTGTGCAAGAGTGAGGCAAGGGTAGGCAGTATAACAGTATGAAAAGTCAGAACAACTGCATGGGGATTGCAGTAGGACACTCCACATCATACTTAAATAATTGTGAATCATTACCTGGTGGACATGACCTTTTGTATTTTGTACCTTGTGCTGTTACATACATGAAAGTTGAGAATTGCACTGAACTGGTTACCGATTAATGTGAGAGTACTTGCTACTTGGAGAGGAAGTGTAACTAGTAGCTCCTATTCTGTGTTTCCCAAACACACACCGAAAGCAAGACAGGAATTTAAAGATTGTCTCTCCAAAAAAAAAAATTATATATATATATATATTCTACAAAGTGGCAGCAGCATTTTGGGGGGAGAAGAGAACAAAGCAGAGAAGGAGAGAGGGAAATTCAGGAGTTAAAAGACTTTCAGCGATGTAGTACGGGCTACAGCATGGATGATAAGTAATTGTTTCAGAGTTGATTTATGTGCTTCCTGTTCTACCACACTACCCAGTAGCCTGGGACACAGAAAGGGTTAGTAGACTAGATCTCTCTTACAATTTTCAATGTGATAGCAATAAATAATAATACAAATGCTTAAGTCCTTCATTATTCCTGCAGGCTATGGTGGATACAGGTTGTCAAATGGCAGTACCACATGTACAGGGAGAGTTGAGCTTCTTCATGGAGGCTCATGGGGAACGCTCTGTGACTACTCGTGGAGTTTTCCAGCTGCCAATGACCTCTGCCAGCATCTGGACTGTGGAGTTGCACTGTCAATACCAGATGGACAGTCCTTTGGAAGAGGAAATTGGTCTTTCTGGAACGGTACATTCAGCTGTAAGAAGAATGGCTCATACTCAAGAGACTGTTCTGTGAGTGTTCTAGATCAGAACAAATGCCCTGCTGGAAATGTTGCTCGTGTGATGTGCTCAGGTGAGCAATGGAAAGGGCTAAGAGGAGAAATGAAAAATGGCTTCTTTGAGACAATATGGACCCAAAAACCAGAGGGTATCTGTACAGCCAATCTCTGTATTTAGCCTGCTGCTACAGGTATTTCCAGGAGCTGAGGCTGCACTTACCACAAGGCTGCTCACTCTCTATGAAACCCTCTTTGTGCCAGGGAAGAGTAAGGGAAGGGCTGCTCCTCAGGAGAGAACGAGCTGGGTCTGGATGGTGAGACAATATGAGTGCATCCACCAGGGTATAGTCTGAAGCATCCGAACACAGAGGGCTGAACTGTAGAGAAAAATGAGGAACAGCAGGAGACAGGGCAGTTACACCAACCACATAGTTAAGGCAAGCACTGAAGGCCTGCTTCAGGCTTAATTGAGTCCTTGGACAATGGCCTGAGTTGAGAGACCCAAATACATCTGGTCATAGTAGTTTAGGTTCACTCAGAGCCTTGAAATCTAGTGCCTCAAGTTCAAAAATTGCAGGAGAACAGATTCTGATTTCTAATCATTCTTCTCAGTAAAACAGGGGAACTAAAATCTAGTTATATGTATGGAAATTCTTGTGGCCAGTGGAGTCATTTTTGCTTCTTCTTATTGCTAAGGAAAATTCATTTCCATTTCCAAGCCAGTTTTTAGTTCATGCTCATGAGCAGTTACCAGTATGACATCTTGGTATTCATTTTCTCTTATATTCAGGGTGCCCAGGGGGCAGACTAGCAAATGGCAGCACATGCTCAGGCAGAGTGGAAATCCGCCATGGCGATACATGGGGAAGACTCTGCCGCTCCCACTGGAATTTGCAGGCTGCTAATGTCCTCTGCTATCAGCTGAACTGTGGCTATGCAAAGTCAATCCAGACAGGAGACAGTTTTGTGGATGGGAATGGACCTGTATGGAGAGATGCTTTTCACTGTGAAGGGACAGAGTCCTGCCTGTGGGATTGTGCTCAAGTGACTTTGGGCAATCCAACTTGTTCAGCCAAAGAAGTAGCCACTGTTGTTTGCTCAGGTAAGTCAGGAATGTTTTTTTTTTCAGGTTTTGTAACTTCAGACCAAAGCAATCTTGGTGATCTCACTTTGCCAAGTTGTATATGTCAGCTTATATTTAATGTCCTTCTTCCTTCACTACCCACCCATCACACTTCTGTCCCCAGTTTCAGCATAAAAACTTCATTTAGTAGGATTTCACTCTAAAGGAAATCACATTATTTAGATGTGCCTGATCCTAGGAGTATCTAACCTTTTAGCTGGGTATGTCTATCTTGCTTCCTGTTGCAAAATCTTCTGGGCATAGAAGCAATCAAAGCCTTACCACAGGCTATCTCCTTAATCACTGGTGTGAAATACTCTTTACCATCATATAATTTGGACTTCCATCTCTCCCCTGCATGTTATTTCTACTGTGATAACAGCAGAAAATTTTATTCATAGTGTTTTCCAAACCTTTTGAGCCCAGGTCTTGCTGAATCACTCAGACTCTCAGACGGTCAGAGCCGCTGCGATGGGCGTGTTGAAATCTCCCTTGATGGCATATGGGGCAGAGTCCTAGATGACGACTGGAACATCAAAGATGCTCATGTGGTATGCAGACAGCTCCAGTGTGGAATAGCAAAGAGAGCCTATTACCTTCCAAGGTCTGAACGAGGCATCGGTCCTGTGGGCTTAAGAAATGTCCATTGTGATGGAAATGAGACTCGGCTAGTGCTCTGCAAGACCTCCCATTCTCAGGCGCTGTCAGCAGGAGTTGCTGAAGATGTTGGTGTGATCTGCTCTGGTGAGTCACTGTGTGAAAAGAACAGAATGCTTTCTAGGGTTGTCTCTAGCCAACCTTGTGCTGTGGTCTTACCAGATCTTAAATAGGCATGGATCAGAGCTTGTGAAACTCACCTACTTGTAGACACTAAGAGATAAATGGTAGTCAAAGAAGCAAGTGAAATTCACACATTTCTTTCTTCATCTGAAATTCTTAAAGAATTTAGCTCACAGAATCAAAAAGAAGTAACAGAATACAGAAGTCATAAAAGCACTAATTTGTCAGTGACTATCCACATTTGAACTGACATCAAAGAACTGAATAGATTTGGTTTTGTGACTCTTCTATATATGTGTAGGCACATGCAGTCTTTCTAGATATACACACAAACAACTATTGCTACCTATCTGAATTTTTAACACATCTGTTGCAGAACCTGTTTCTGATCTAAATGCGTTTAATTAGAAAACAGCTTCTCAGACTTTCTAAAATAAGGTGATGTCTGCATATACTTACCACAACTAGACTACTGCTACCCATTTGCAGTAACCAACAGGAATTACTTAAACATTCACTTGTTGCAGGAGTAATCCTTTGCCTTGATGTGGTTTTAGCATCGCAGGAGTTCTACCTAAGAAATCATAATAAATGAACTGGAATCTAACAAGAACATGATGCCTCAAATGTGCTTTAAATATACGCTCATTATATTGACCAATCAATATATTCAATATTGTCAGTTGCATTTTCTTCCTGCAGAGAGCCGGCAGATGAGGCTGGTGAATGGAACAAAACGCTGTGCTGGGAGAGTGGAGCTTTATCATGATGGCATCTGGGGCACTATCTGTGATGATAACTGGGATCTATCAGATGCAAATGTTGTTTGCAGACAGCTGGGATGTGGATATGCCATCAAGGCATTAGACTCTGCTTACTATGGAGAAGGCTCAGGGCAAATCTGGCTGGATGATGTAAACTGCACTGGGTCTGAATCCAATATCTGGGCATGCCCCTCTAGGGTATGGGGTCATCACAACTGCCAACACAAAGAGGACGCTGGAGTCCTATGCTCAGGTATGTTCAGAGAATACATTTCATAGCCTGTGAGCTGAAAGAAAACACAAATGGGAAAGATGAGAATTGGTGGAGTCTTGCTTGAACAGCTTGTTATTCTCTCCTGTCTGCAAGCATGGCCCATCATCACAAAGGGTGTACTTATTTGGCATTCACACATGTACACGCAAAAGTGTATGCTGAGGGATTTTGGGGATAAATTGGAGGGCTGCACGTTGTGCAGAAGGAGGTCATCAACTGTCAAGTGCCAGACTGTTTACCAGTGGACAGGGTCAACACAAAGGTCACAGACACCACATTAAAGAAGTGTGTTTATCTTTACTTCAGTTTAAAGCACTGAGATAATAAGTGCAATGATATAGCAAGAATAAAACAGAACAAGGCAATGTGCCTAACTGTTACTGCATGAATAATAGCAATAGTCATTAAGAAAGATACATCACCAATTGCCCTAATACTTTACCATCATCCAGATTCACAGTTGCTGGGGAGCTTCATTTGCAGCAAGGATTTGGAGAGCCTTCCCAACAACAGGGAAGTCCTACACAGTGCATCCCCTCATAATTGAGGCCTCCAATTTCACTATAAGAGGATCCAGCTTTTATATTGTTGAATAAACACATTTACATGATAATTAGGAGGAAACATCCGGTCTCATTCTCTCTTTGGATTGCACCAAAAGCCTAGAGAGGGCTCAAGAAGGAGCCAAGGAGGTTTGTTTGCTAGTAGGCCACTCTAGGCAAGGGCTGAGGGAGCAATATCCCTCCCATTGTATGATATCTGCATTTTCCTTACCTCCAGCAAAGTGTGTGACCAGCTGTCATGGGAGCCCCCAAAAAACTGTATGCCCTGAGATCAGTTGAATGATAAAATACCAGCCACTCCTGTGGATTCTTGGATTGGGACAACAGTCAAAATCACTGAGGAAGTGGCCCCTATTATTTGAAGAGTAATGCTTACTAAATGGTTGGTCTTTGGAAACAAGACGATGAAATGTGTGTTGAATCATGTCATCTGATTCCGTTTTTATACCTTCACTTTCAGAGTTCCTGGCTCTGAGGCTGGTGAATGGCAGTGGCTGTGCTGGACGGCTAGAAGTTTTCTACAATGGGACATGGGGGAGCATTTGCTCCAATCGTATGTCTCAACTCACTGCAGTAACTGTATGCAAACACTTGAACTGTGGAGATGGTGGGGAAATCGAAAGAGATTTCAAATATGGCAGAGGTTCTGGGCCCACATGGCTGGATCACGTTGAGTGTGCTGAGCAACACAGCTCCCTGTGGCAATGTCAGTCAGACCCCTGGGATCCTCAGTCATGTGATAACCGAGCAGAAGAGACCCATATTTCTTGCACTGGTAAATACAATTGCATCCACACAGTACCTCCCAAACATACATACATCCGCACATGCATACATGGACAATATGATGCTTACTCATGTTCATCTGTTTCCACTTCATATTATTTTCAGTTTCATGAAATTGGCACAAACATTTTGTCTACATCTCTGCTGAAAATGAGTAAATTAAAATGATATCAGTGTTAAAATCCAAGGGAAACCCCTAACAGGATGCTGCCACTGCTTATCTGTACATTAAAAATGTGTGAAATGCAATTAGTCTGTGAGATTTGTTAAGATGAGACTATTCAAGAAGACTAGAGACATACATGTATTTCTGTATATATGGATGCAAAGCAGTGCTTATATACATACAAATACATATGCATGCATATAACCAAGTGCAAGTGTATGTTAGTTCAGTTCTAAATTATCGTTTCTGGTGCCTGCTTTTAGGACAGTATCTCATATCTGTGGGTTCCCACTGAAATATAAATAATTTTTAGATAACTCAGATCTCTTGAAAGGCACTTCATGAGAAAAGAAAACAAAGCCATCAGAGAGTTTAAAGATTTTTTTAATATACAATAATAGCCAAACACTAATAAATGCCAACTACTACATCAACTACTAAATAGGTTACACATTTATTATAGGAAAAATGCACTTGATGATTAATGCTCAGGAAGTTTACACTCCTTCACTCTTTCCAGAGAATGATCGAATTATTTAATTCAGTATTTAATTTCTACAGGAAGAAAAGGAACAACAACTTCTACCTCATTTACTGAGTGTCCAAACTCTACAAGTTGCTCAGGTACTTCTACCCCCTTGCTTTTCCTGATTAATCTCTGTGGACCTTACTGCTATTCAGGCAATACAGATGCTTTTTTATTCTGCAGACAAGGACAAGTTACGTGTTGTAGGAGGAGAGGATGCGTGCTCAGGAAGAGTGGAGATTTGGAATCAGGGTTCCTGGGGAACAATCTGTGATGATTCCTGGGATGTGGCAGATGCTAATGTTGTATGCAGGCAACTGGGCTGTGGTTCTGCTGTGTCTGCTCTGAGTGAAGCTGCCTTTGGGGAGGGGACAGGTCCCATCTGGCTGGAGAAGGTCCACTGTAAAGGAACAGAACTGTCACTTTGGGACTGTCCTTCCAAGCCTTTGCTCGGCAAAAACTGTGATCACAAGGAGGATGCTGCCGTGGATTGCTCAGGTTAGTAAAATGGTCCTTTGGTTCATCACACAAACTGGGGAGGGAGCTGAATAGAGGGATATTATGCCATCTGTCCATCCCAGTGATTAGCCTCTTTATAATTCTGACTGAAGGAACCTCACAAACGATATGAACATATTCTTCCTACTTTTCAGTTACCACTTCCTTAATCTGGACTCACTTTCCTTTTGTAGGTGTGACAGAAACAACAGCACCTTCCACTAAAGCAGGTAAAACATTTCTTCTTGACCCTTTCTTCCTCCCATCAAATTAGGGACTTTCATTGTCACTGATACTGCAAAACAGGTAAATCAGAAATATATCAACCTGCTTTAGCAGGGGGGTTGGACGCAGTGATTCTTGAGGTCCCTTCCAACCCCTGCAGTTCTGTGATTCTGAGATATTCCAGCTCATTAGAAACCATCTCCCACAGTCTTTTGTAAAGGAGAAATGAGTGGCACTATTTCTAGCTGCTGAATTCTTTCTCACTGAGCAGAAATTATGCAGCAGGTGACCTGCCTCACTCTGCTATCTGAGCACATGAGGAGACTTCAGAGGAGCAGCCTTTGGGCTACTGGGTTCTTCCCTATGTGTTGCCTCTTTGTTTCCACCTAGCTTCACCCCGCCGCTCAGCGACAAACAACATGAGAGCTTCAGCACCTGTGATCCTCTGCATCATCCTGGGGGCCCTTCTCTGCCTGGTTCTTGCCATTCTTGCTGGACAGATCCAAAGAGCCAGGGCACAGCAGAGAGGTGTGTTGGTATAAAATGCTTCCTTGAAATGGCTGGCAAGTTTTTAGCTGTCTGGGGGAGAAGGGGAGATGGGTGGCTGAGGTAAATGACACCTGCTGCTGCACTGAGATTTTCACTCATTCTCTGTCAACTAGTACATCTGGAAACTGACAGCAGCCAGGACAACTACTGGGAGTCTTGGGCCTGGTCTTCCTCTGTAGGATACTTAAAGTGACCCGCCTGTGTGGAGAGAAACAGAGACAGGGGAACTAGCTTGAGAGTGGAAAGTGAGGTCAATTTGGAGAAACAGTTTTCCAGTGAGAAACAGCAAAAATGCAAGGAAGGACAGCCACCTTACTAAAGGTGGCTTTTAGAATATCAAATTAGTACAGCAACTGGAAACCTCATAGCTAGCAGCACATTACATCTCAGACAAATGAGTAGCAATATCTCCAGTTCAGACTGGATCTGCATGAGATCTTTCCCTGAAATGCCACAAACGTCTGGAAAGCTTTCAGTCTCCTGAGTAATGAAGGGGCTATTAGAAGATAACACAAAACATAACTTTAAAACAAAGAAACTTAGATATGCACAGAGACGGAATAAATAGAACGGATCTGTTTTCAAATCCAAACTTGCTTCCTCACCCAATATCTAAGGTCTCTTTGTCAAAATAAACTTTTTCTCCACACTTATTCTTAGCCAGCACTTCTTAGTGACTTTTTGCGTAGTAACCAGATTGTGTAGACCCTGTTAGATCCCTCCATCTTTTCATGACCATGGCCTGAGTATGGACAGAGTCTGTGAATGATCATGCATTTTATGTTCAGGCTCCAGGCTACCCTATGACTCCTTCAATGAGGTTGTCTATGAGGAGATTGACTACAAACTGATGAAAGAACAGCAAGGGATGTCTGGCCTCTCAGGTATGTGTGTCTTTTTCTCATCAAGAGAAACAAACTAAAGCTAATTTCTTCTGGTGGCCTCAGTATGAAATTGTGAAGCTCACACATTTACCAGGAAACTTCTGGTTTCTCCCATAATTCTTCTCTCCTGCCCTCAGATTTCCAGATCTGCCAAGCCCACACAAGCAGCTCTGAAGTAAACATGCATCTGGCTTTATTGAGCACTTTTTGGTCTTCATTTGCACGCTCAAACCTGCTCTGGAAAGCTCTCTTAGAACTGTTTTAGGGCAGCTTCCCCTCATTAGCATCTATGGTCAGTTTCACTGATTCCCCCGCTAAAAACAGTGGAAAATGAGAGACAGGGAAAAAGAACTGCAAATATTTTTCTCCAAAGGTTTGGCCCAAGTTTATATCCAAACAACCAGAAGTGACAGCACAGGGCAGCTACTTAGCTAGTCTATTTCACTGAAGTTTAACAGAGAGTGGTTAAAGTAATGAAAATACAAGGAAATAGGTGCTTTACAGAGATAGACACAGAGCAATTTGTTACTGTGCAATTATGAAACAAAGTGGGGAAGACTACCTTGACATAAATTTTTCCACTAACTGCATTGTTCCAGATGTTTGTCCTATTCCTGTTTATCTTCTACATTGTTTTCTGCTTTCTACTTGTTACAACAACATATGACAATTATTGGAGCTGTATCACTGTGACATACCGTAGAGTCCTCAGGAGGAACCTTAGTTTCTTACCATTCATTATTATACTACTATCGTTATTGCAGGACTTATTTTTGGATCATAAGCTAGTGCTCTCTCTAATGGAAGACCTATCCCTATTACTATTAATACGTATCCTGTTTCAGAAATCCCATCATTGCCTGGAAATAACCTGGAAGGTGGTTATGATGATGTAACAGATGCTCCTGGACCTGAAGATGCTTCTCTTTCTGAGCAGAATAAGCAAGAAATCACTGGGGTCTCAGAAGAATGTGACAGAAACAAGGATTCATGGAAAGGTGAGGCCGGAAGAGCACTGCTGCTAATTTTCATATCCTATAGTTATTGTACCAAACTCGGGGAAAATCAAGGTGGAGCATACCTCAAAAGGTCACCTAGACTTTATCTAATCACTGTAAGGAAGAAATGCTATCCCACAAAATCACAGAGTCATAGAATGACCTGGGTTGAAAAGGACCATAGTGATCATCTAGTTTCAACCCCCCTGCTATGTGCAGGGTTGCCAACCAGCAGACCAGGCTGCCCAGAGCCACATCCAGCCTGGCCTTGAATGCCTCCAGGAATGGGGCACCCACAACCTCCGTGGGCAACCTGTTCCAGTGTGTCACCACCTTCTGTGTGAAAAACTTCTTCCTAATATCTAACTGAAACCTCCCGTGCCTCAGTTTAAAACCATTCCCCCTTGTCCTATCACTATCCATTCTTGTAAACAGTCGTTCCCCCTCCTGTTTATACTCTCCTTTCAAATATTGGAAAGCCACAGTGAGGTCTCTCCGGAGCCTTCTCTTCTCCAAGCTAAACAAGCCCAGCTCCCTCAACCTTTCCTCATAGGAGAGGTGCTCCAGCCCTCTCATTATCTCAGTTCCCCTCTGCACTGCTGGCTCACATCCAGCCTCTTGTCCACTCGGACCCCCAAGTCCTTCTGTACAGCGTTGATCTCAAGGAGTTCTTCTCCCAGTCTGTAGAAACACCTGGGATTGCCTTGGCCCATGTGCAACAGTTTGCACTTAGCCTTGAAGAATGTCATTAGATTCACATCTACCTACACTTCCAGGTAGATGCTTGTTAGACTGGTCGTTCAACTAACTCAGTAGGTGTCCTCACAACTTCTGCAGGTAATCTACACCTATGTTGTTTTTCTCCTTATAAACACTGCAAGTGAGAATAGACTTTATCTGCAGAGATCTAGGAAACTTGATATCCCAGTGTTAGCAGGGAAGCCTTAGGAGGAAGGAGCTGAGAGCAGGGCTCAAGGACCCAGAGATCTCCTCGGGAAGAGCTGAGAGGGGGGGCTAGCAGGGTCATACTTTTCTATGCAGTAACCACCCTCAGTCTATAAGATGAATTATATCCTCCTAGTAAATTTCAAACACCAACAATGGGTCGATCGTTATCCTGTGGTAGCCTTGGGAGGATCCAAATTAGGGCATACTCTTGGGAAGGACAAGGCTAGATCTACATTCGTAATATGTCAGATAAAGAGAGCAAAAAATGCTTTTTAAAGTTGAGGTGGTAAAACATGGAATTGGGTTCTTTTGGCACATCGAATAATTGCTTTCATTAAAAATGATTATTGTTAAGTTCATTAAAAATGTTTATTGGGAAAAGTATGCTTGATCCTTGGATATTTTTATATGTGGCAGGAAGTAGAATAAAATAAGCTTTTCTCAAGTCTTTCTGGAGGCAGCAACAGACAGCCCGTGCTGTCAGCTGCACAACCATGGGATGTAACACATGCAGAGTGGGCATTTATATCAGTCTTCAGACTTTATCTTCCCTTCATGCTTTCAGACTGGAGTCCTAATGTGTCAAGAAACAGAACATCTGGAGCTCAGAGAGATTTATCCCCTGCTCTTGAAGACAGAGGGTACGATGACATCGAAGAGCTGGGACAATGAATGAGACCACTGAGCAGTACTGAGCAGCTCTGTAATACACCACTGTTCCAAAAATGCTAATTGGAACCAGAAAAGCTTGCATTTAGGATTAGTTTTCGTAAGTTTGGTTTATTTACAGAGAAGTGTTAACATATGTAGAAGAAATACAAACGTGATTGTTAAGACAGTTTTTCAAACTTCCCTTGACTGCATGGACAATTTTGGTTTTAATTTCTAAATATTTTCATTGCTTTTTTTCTTTTCTATGGAGGCAATTTTTCAACATATGGTATTTTCTTATTAAAAGCTGTTTAAAGATTTTTTCCTGAAAGTATGTTTCTGTCATGGTTTTATGATTTTTGTTATTAGTATTCCACACCACAACATTATGTAGCACACAGGGAGTTAAAGAGTTAATGCTCCAGTTCCATGCTGTCGACCTTAGACACTTTTATGAGATGCTCCCCTTGGATCTTGGTTTCCAATTGCTAGCACCTGCAAGTATATAGTTGATAGTTCCAGGCACCTGGTTCTCAGAAGAGATTTGTATCCCAGATTTTCACTGTTCCATTTCCATTTTCCATTTAGAGGGAAAGATGAAACTTCCCGTGAGTCACAAAATGCTCCCTTTCTTTTACTTCTCATCTCTGTGGTGTGTGCTCCCTACCCGTCTCACCTTACAGCAAGGCCTTTGGTTTTGGACACTCTCATTTAATTTGATTTACTGCCTTCAGTTCCAATTATATCGTATTATATTGCCTTGCATCCTGCTATCACATTTAGTGAATTATTTTTCTCCCTTAGCTCACTGCCGCTGTTTTGTTCTTAGGTTCATCTCCCTATCCTTCCACATTTCCCCTCTCCTAAAGCATTGGTTGGTGGGTCCCTCCACCCCATTAGTCACAGAACTGGGCTGAACCAGCCCTAAACCTTTTACAATTTCTCCCCCAAATTCACAGAACTTCTTTCTGGAGATAACTAGGAATGGAGAATGAACTGCAAGAGAATTATTGATGCTGCGTTTCACCTTTTGGATATTTTATTTGTCACATACAAAGTGGATTCCTGAATTAATTTTCTATATAGTACTTTATAAGATGAGAAACTCAATGAGAGGCTGTTCTTGTCCTTAAGATGCAGAACTATATACAAGCAAATTGCAAATGTGACTAGAGAGAGAAACACTGATTCTCTTTTTCTATGCCATAATTGTGTAGTTTCACCCTGGCAGGCAGCTAAGTAAAACACAGCTGCTCACTCACTCTCCTCAGGAGGCATAGGGTAGGAGAATCAAAAAGGTAAAAGTGTAAGAATTCATGGGTTGAGATAAAGGCTGGGGAATTGGTCTATAGATTATTATTCGGGCTAAGGGGGATCTGTGACACAATTGCAAGATGCAGGCGAAGTGCATTTTGGAATTGCACAGAGTTTCTTGTGGGATGATTAGGAGCAGGGACAAAAGACTTCCTTTTCAGTCAGCCTACAAGAGCTCCTCTACCCGCTCCCACCGCAAAACAGCCATCGCGGGGCAGGGTCCCATGCCAGCCTTACACCCGACACCCTCTCAGCTGTTCCCCCACCCCGTCCCCAGGCTGCAGGCTGCAACGCAAACTGCCCAGGGAGAGCCGCTCAGTGTCCGTACGTACCCTCCGTCGGCTCCAACGGGAGAAGCGTGCTTTCGGGAAAACATGCCGGAATGGCTAAGGCAGCTCCCCTCTGTCCTCCTCAGGAGCTTCCTCTCCTCCCACCTCAGCACGGAAAAGGGCACAGGCTCCCTCCCTCCCTCGATTTCCCAAGCCAGGCTTCAAAGGAGAGACAGCAAAGAGCACCTCACAGCTGGGCTCCAGCTGTGCGGCAGGAAGCTCCCGAGAAGACGGACGCGACTCACTGACTGCACCCAACGGGCCACACACAGGCTGCCCCGCCACCAGGCCGGACTCACGTGAGCGGAAGAACGCCCAGGCCCCGTCAGCGCCCGCCTGCCCGAGGCGGGGGGGTGGGGGGTGGCGCTGGGTAGTAGGGACGTGTCGACACGGCGCGGCGGGGGACGAGAGCGGGCTAACATGGGTCGGGTGGTCGTGGAGCTCTTTTACGATGTGGTGTCTCCTTACTCCTGGCTGGGGTTCGAGGTGAGGGGTGGAAGTGTGGAGGGAGACCGCTCCCGGGGATCCCTCGGTTCACCACGGCCGCTGGCAAAGGGGCCGAGTAGGCGCGACCGAGGGCCGGAGTCAGCCGAAGGGCGTCTTGTTTCCCTGCCCCTTAGGGCTTCCCTCGCTGCGACCTGAGCGGCACGGAGCCGGTGCGCTTATCGCAAGATCCTTGCTTCGTTTCCGTTTTGTGCTTGTTTCTGGTTTGCTTTGCTTTGCTTTGCCCATAATGTGTTTGGATTTTTGTTTTCAATCCCGTTTGCCGGGGACCTTTAAGTTTTTTTTTTTTTTTTGTGGCGTGTTGAAAACCAGGGGGCGTTTAGGAGGCACGTCCCAGCCGAACGCTTATTTTTGCATGCAGATCTGCAGACATCTCTTGTCAATCTGGCTTGCCTTTCTGTGTTGCAGGTTCTCTGCCGATACCAGCACATATGGAATATTGATTTGCGCTTTCGTCCGGCTCTCCTTGGCGGCATAATGCAGTCAACTGGTAGCTAATGTGGGGAGGTTGGCATTCCCGAGTAGGATAGTTCTGTGGGCGATGGCAGAGCCAGCCTTAAACTCATTTTTGGCACCAATAGCAAAGTAAATATAGGGTCGTGGAGCTCAGCAGTGACCTAGAAATCGGCTGCAAGGAATTTTGTGCTGTTACTGCTGTGTACCCCACAAGTGCTGTATGCGGAATGTGTAAATGCCACAAAGTTCCTCAGTCCTAAAATAGAATAACAGTAATTCTACGTGGAATGATTTTCTGAAAGTTTCAGGTTGAATTAAAACTAGAATAAATCTGTGGAACTCTTATAGTTTGTAACATACGTGAAGGATCAAAGAATATTATAAAATAGCACTTGGGGCCTTATTAGGATTCCCTGAGATTTATAAATCATGAAATTAACAATCCCCCACCTCGTTTACCAGTACATGGTTGTTTACCTTAAAAGTCATCAGTCTGAATCAATACAGATGCCTATCAGGAAGTTTTTACCATTGTTTAAAACTGGTTCTGCTAATTTAAACTACCAGTCTTTGTAAAACCAAAATAAATTGTGTTTTAAATCATAGTGTTACATTTGGAAAATCTGCATACATTTTACTATTGCTGTATAAAATTGCTTTTCCTTGGGTATGTGTGTAGGTGAGATCTCATTTGTCATGTTTTGTTTTGTCCAGTGTTTTTATAGCATACTTGAAATCTTCTGCTTAAAATAGAACTTTTTCTGAAAGGTAACAAGCCTCCAGCAATGTTGCCAAAGCGTGCAGAATACCTGCGGAAGGATATAGTAAGGATGGCAAAATATTATCAGGTGCCTTTAGCAGTTCCAGAAGATGTTTTCCAACGTATCCTTGGTAAAAGTAAGTAAGAGATTTAGCTTAGACAACATTTGTCAATCGTT